GGTCATGATCTCACTCACAGTTCGTGAGTTCAAGCCCTGCGTCAGGCTCTGTGCCGTCAGCTCAGAGCCTGGAGCCTGCTTCGGATTCTGTGTCTACCTCTCTCTCTGTCCCTCCCCTGCTCAACCTCTATCTTTCTCTCTCAAAAAATAAACATTAAAATAATTTTAAAAAAGTTATCATCATTACTATAGTCACTTAATATATTGGCTTACTACAGGGAAAGAATATGCTGATTATCTGTTTCATGGAAGAGTCCTTACACATCATGAGCATTGATAACCATATCTTGGTTTTTTATATCTGTCTTGTAAACTTAGTTAATGGACAGTCTCACGGAACATATTTAACAAATATTTATACAGTGTATAATATGTTCCAAGCTGTGCTGTATGTTGTATAGATCAATCATATAAACTAAGAGATGTGATACTTGTCCTTATGGACCTTACAGACTACATATATAGGTATCAAACACATGAATAAGTACACAATTGTAAATTGTGATAAGTGCTATAAAGGAAAAGTATTAGATGCTATAAGAGAAAGTAACTGTAAGAATAATTTAGACTGGAGGAGGCAGATCAGGTCTTTCTATGAGAAAGAGATACTTACAATGAAACATAAAGAATAAATAGAAGTCAGCCAGGCAAAGAGTGGGGTTAAGAACGTTTTAGGTAGTGGGGACAGAACATTCCCCAAGGCAAGAAAAAGCTTGATGAAGCTTAGTGAGCAATGAGGAAAGGGAGAAGAATGCTAAGAGAAAGGCCTAGAAAAGTTGGAGAGAGCCAGATCAAGTAGAATCTAGCAGAGCAAGTCAAGGAGTTTTAATTTTATTCTGTATGGAACAAGAATCCATTGAAAGTTACCAGTAGAAAAGTGACATGATTTACTTCATGCTTTAAAAAGTGGACTTTGCTTTGAGAGGAAGAGTAAACTGAAGAGAGGCAAAGGTGGAACTGATGAGACTAGCCACTGAAATAACTTGAGATGAAAGATGATGGTGGATTAGACCAGATTGTTCTCTGGGAATTCATCATGCCAAGTAGTTTCAAAATAGCCACTGATAAATCTCATAGAATTTTCTAGAATAAAATTTGGACTAGTTTTGTACCTCATGAGAACACTAAACAGTTACTTATAAAACTAGTTCATTTAAGAATATATTCTCTTGTACTATACTGTGAGTTCCTCAAGGGCAGGGCCCAAATCATATATAATCATTTAAAAACTCACAGCATCCAACAGAGTGATATATGCATATTAGTGTCGAGATAAATATTTGGTGAGTGAACGTAATACAAAAGGAAAGGAAAGATAAATATAGATTAGATCTATGAAAAGGTTTAGGGAGGAGGCTGGACTTTAGCTGGCACAAGAATTTTTTAGAATTTTTATTTTTATTAAGTTTTTATTTAAATTCATTAGTTAACATACGGTGTAATATTAATTTCAGGTGTACAAGACAGTGATTCAACAGTTCTATATAGCAACCGGTGTTCATCACAAATGCACTCCTTCATCCCCTCACCTATGTAACCCATTGCTCCACTCACATCCCCTCTGTAACCATCAGTTTGTTCTCTATAGTTTTAAGAGCCTGTTCTTGGTTTGCATCTTTCTTTTCCCTCCCCTTTGCTTGTTTGTTTTGTTTCTTAAATTCTACAAGTGAAATCATATGAAACTTGTCTTTTTCTGACTTGTTTTGCTTCACATAATATATATACACACATACATATCATATTGACTTTATCCATTCATCAGTCATTGGACATTTCAGCTGTTTCCATAGTGTGGCTATTGTAGATAATGCTGCTATAAACACTGGAGTGAATGTATCCCTTCAAATCAGCAGTTTTATATCTTTGGGTAAATACTGAGTAGTGAGACTGCTGGATTGTAGGGTAGTTCTATTTTTAACTTTTTGAGGAAACTCCATACTGTTTTCCAGAGTAGCTGTACTAGTTCACACTCTCACCAACAGTGCAAGAGGGTTCCCCTTTTTCCACATCCTCACCAACACCTGTTGTTTGTTGTGGCACAAGAATACTTAATCTAAGGGATAGGCCTTGCAACTAAGCTCAACATTTGTGTGCATAGCCCCTTGGAGAGGGGAGGCCACAGTAATCACATTTCCAAAGGAGGTCACCACCTATAAAAATATAAGAACCACTTATTAGGCCTTAAATGATATCTAAAGGTAGAATAAGAAGGAAAAAGAAAGGATTGTTCAACTGGGCAAAGGAAAGAGGAGGTATGAAGAGAGAAATGTAGAAGTAGCATCTGAAAGCTGAGTTGGTATCAGTGAGGTGGTTGACTCCCTAAAATAATGAATGCTTACTTTTATTCAGACACTGAATTAAGTGCTTTTATATCCATTTTCCTATTTGAATATTCACAACTTAGTCATTAAGTAATAATGATGTTAATATCATTGTTCTTCCTATTTTAGAGAAGACTGGGGCTTAGAAAGGAGAAGCACTACACCCAATGTCATAGAGCTACTAACTGATGGATCTGAAAATATATGATGCCAAAATTCATGCTGTTTCATAAAGCACAATGCATATTGCTTCCCAAATATGAAAAAGGTCTTTGTAGTTTATTTTAATATAGCTTTCTACTTATTTTATGATAATAATAGTTAGCTTAATGTAAAACTTATAAAAACATACATTAGCCCAAATAATCATTACTTATTCCTAACACATAGATACATAATTGGGTCACAATATTACTCAAAGGTCAATGCTAGAAAAAAACAATTGGCATCCTAGTAAGTCACCCCTTTACAAACAACAGCAGTGTTACAAGCACTTGCTGGTGTTTTTAATTGAAATTTTGAGAAAATCAACAGTCATTTTTAAAGAAGCACATTAGATCCATGGACATCTTGAGTAAAAATTTTATTTTCTTTTGTAAACATCCATGCATCTTTGTATTCCTTTCAAAGGTCAAGAAAAATTGTGAAAGACTTTAAAATGGACAAAAATATTAGGTGTCCTGTGTAGTGGACCATTCTGGATTATGTTCACTGTCCAGTCTTTCAGCTATCTTACAACTCAAACTTGCAGAAAATAGTAATGTAACTGATTTTGTCCAAATGATTCTTTTATACAAGAGAAGTGTAATGGGCTGCTTTGCAGATAACAACTAAAGTGTTACATCTATTTGTAAATTTCATCTCCATTCATTTAGTTCTTAATGTTTACGTATTTGTGTCCTTTGAGTTTTCCTGTGAACCAGTTGTAATACCTTTCTGGTTCCTTCAATAATTAATTAATGAAATAACACCATTGATATGTATTCATTTAGTATTTGTAATAAAGTTATGATTTTAACTTTAAAAATTATTCATTGACAGTTTTAAATTAAGGGAAGCCTAGGTTGCTCAGTTGGTTAGGCGTCCAACCTCGACTCAGGTCATGATCTGGAGGTCCATGGGTTCCAGCCCTGCATCAGACTCTGTGCTGACAGCTCGGAGCCTGGAGCCTGCTTCAGATTTTGTGTGTCTCTCTCTTTTTGCCCCTCCCTTGCTCATGCTCTGTCTCTATCTCTCAAGAATAAATATTTTTTAAAAAGTTTTAAATTAAAAATTGTTTTTAAAAATGTTTATTCATTTTTGAGAGAGAGAGACAGAGCATGAGCCGGGAGGGGCAGAGAGAGAAGGAGACACAGAATCTAAAGGAGGCTCCAGGCTCCCAGCTGTCAGCATGGAGCCCAATGTGGGGCTTGAACTCATGAACTGCAAAATCATGACCTGAGCTGAAGTCGGACGCTTAACTGACTAAGCCACCCGGAGGCCCCTTCTTTAACAGTTTGAGAGATCATCCACCAATATGCCCAATGAATTCAACTAATAGGACCAGATAAACCACACTGCTGGAAGAGTACACTTTCAAGCACTTGCTTAAGCCCACAGGTATCTTTTTGTCACAACCACAGGTAAATCCCGAATGCCAACAGAATTCTATTTTTTCTTTTGTTCATTTGTTTTTTTCCTGAATTTCACATGAGAGTGAAATCATATGGTATTTGTCTTTCTCTGACTTATTTCACTCAGGATTATACTTTATAGCTCCATCCACGTCACTGCAAATGGCAAGATTTCATTCTCTTTCATGGCTGAATAATGTTCCATAAATGTCTGTTCATGTCTTCTGTCCATTTTTAATTGGATCTCCCTAAGGATTTTAAGCCAAATTTCACTTTATTACTTTTTATTTTCTTCGTTTTTTCCCCCTCTCATTTTATATCCATATTAGTGACTGAGATAGATTTTTTTGACATCCATGGTCTAAATTATTACTGTTTAGTTATACTGTATTTATTTTTTAAAACATTTTTAAGGTTTTTAAAGATTTTTTTTTTTTAATAGTTAGCTATACTTAACAGTTTAATCTTTTCTGGCCTGGAGCTTTTTACAAACTATCATATAGACAGTGACTAAAACAAGTGATAATGTATCCTTCTAAGCTTTTATTTGAAGATTAGTAATCTCAGAAATTGTATCAAGACTCAAATCTCTAAATGGTATTAATGAGAACATAATGAAGGAAAAGAAAATCAGGAGAAAAATCATGAGGCAAAAAGCGAGGTTAATTAAATATTAGTTTGACCAATTTGTTTGGATTTTTATGACTTAAAGTGATCCTTTTAATGGCTTATCTTAATTGAGCCAGGTAATTTATTTAAAGGTATTTGATAAAATTACTAAAGGAAAATAATAATTTCTGAGCAATGAATTTCTTGGGGTTGTGTGATAAATGCTCTTTGTCACATATGACAGAATCTTAATGATATTAGAGTATTTAGGTACAGGAGAAACTCTATTAAATTCCTTGATGGAATATGCTCAGTGGCACTTACACTTTTAGAAAAAAGTATGCTGAAGATCCTTCAGAATAAAATACATCTTCCATAAAATGTTATACCTATCTCCAAGGATAGGAGGTAGGCTGTATGCTTGCAAAATCATTAACGCAAAAGCCTATTGTCTTACCCGTTCATCTGTACTGTCTGTTGCATGATGGGAATAATTGATGAGACCAGGAATGGGCTGCTCACCGTGTGCCATGATAACAGCTGGACTGGTGTAGAATGGATGCTTCTAATGCACAACACATAACAACTATGAGTACAGTGACAGGAAAACATGAAACTATACAAGCAAAATGACTGGAAAGGAAAAGGTGAAAACAAATGAAACAATGAAATGCCAAAAATTCTCAAATGTAGAATGACAATATCAGCTTAGACTTCAAATGTTGTAAGCTTTTTCTTAAGATGGCAATTGATGGCACTTTTTACTCTTTTAATTAAGAGTAAAAGAGAAGATACAATGATTTAAAAATGTACCTATTTAATCAGCTCCATAAAAACAAAATGAAACAAAACAAAGCAAAAATCACATACAACATAACTACTTACTAGTCTTAAGTAAAGACTTAATGGACCACTGAATAGATGTGGAGGCAAAATCATTTGGTCTTCAGTGAAAGAACCACTTACTGGTGGTGTAAAAGGACACCTTAAAAAGATCTCTACGATCCTTTACAATTTATGTGTTGTCAAAAATCCCCTCAAGTTATGTTCATAACCAAAATACCTGGATGACTCTTGAAACTTTAGGAATTACTTCATATAGTAAGATTAGGTTTTTAATCTTTATGCTCTCAATGAACAATCATTATTCTCAGAAGTGATATGTTACTTTCTGAAGATTTTAAAGCATATTGGGTGGATTATACTAAATATGAATAATAATGTAGATGTTCTATGACTAAGGTGACTAAATTTATGCAAGTTCCACATGGTACTCTATTTACTACCAAAATTGCCCACAGAGAATCTGCAATACTTTGGTACTATTCTAATAATATTACTTTATTAAATAAAAAATGCAAATACATTGTATCTTATTTCCTCTCTATAGTACTTGGGTAATTTGGGTCAAGAAATATTTAAATAAGTGTTAATTGCTGAAAAACTCTGTCTTTAAAAAAATCTTTATTAAGCTTTCTCAACTAATTTTAAAATTATCTAAGGTCTCTTACCTTCAGTTTGCTGCTCCTTTATGAATTTGTGAATATTTGATGTTTTAAATATAAAAATATTATATATTTAATATGATCACAAAAATGACATTTCTGGAGAGTTCTTAAAATGTCACATTGTTTATCATTACAGCTATACTTCAATAGGTAACAGCAATATTTTTAACGCCTCAAAACTCAGAACTTCAGTGCTTTCAACGAGTCTATCTACATTATGGAGGGAACATAGCTGTGAAGTGTCATGAATACCTTAGTTCTTTTTTAAGGATGCCTTGAAGATGTACTGAACTTATGAAAAAAATGGGACAGAAAGAGGGATGAAATCAGTACATTTACCTGTGGTTCCTTTAGATCTTTGGGTCTTTGTCAGCGGGCTTACCTTGGCAGCAATGGCTGCTGCAGTTATATGTGATGAAGAACTATCCTCTGTTGAAGCAACACCACTGTCTTTCTTCTCTTCTTCCTCTTCCTCACATTGAACCCCTTTGTCTTCTGTCTGCTTATGGGGGCTAGTTGTGGGAGGAGGGGAAAGAGGAGGTGGTGGGGAAGGTAAATCTTCAAGTTCATCATGCACTTCCTTTACTTTTACAATGGCATCACGTAAAAGGTCAATGGCATGAGGTAGAGCTGGCAGTATAAACTGAAAGCATTCCTGTATACAAGAGGAAGAAAAAAAATGAAGATAAAACACCTTTACAGGCATATAAAATGGTAGCAATCACATTTATTTGTGATTTTGGATCTATATATCTTTCTGTCAGTCTTAAGAATAAATCATATTTAAGGTACTGTCTGTAATATGAAATATGAAGTAAACACTGTATATATTAAAGTATTCTCTGTAAGCTGTAGAACTACAGTAATGTATAAGCCTAGAGTACATTTTTCTTAAACTAAAATTTCTATACAACTTTGGGTCTTAAAGAGGCATTATGAGAAAGGCAGGAAACAGTTTTCACCTTTCTAGTTAGAGCAGAGTACTAGAATTAACAAACCAATTGAGGACTGACTTAATTTATTTGGAGAGCTAAAGTTCTGACTACCATCATAAAATACAGCTAGGCAACATTGTGCAATATGCAAAAATAGATATGAGTTTGTACAGAGCACTGCATAAAAATCACTATAGTCTCCTGCTCAAGTGTCCACTGTTACCTGTAATGTATCACCAAAAGAGAATAGGTAGAACTTTAAAACCAGAACATAGGGCCAGATATGTCTGGGGAATGTATCTGGGCAGAGGTTTTTCTCTTTTAAAATAACTTACCTTAAAATCTAAGATATAAAGAAATATCTTAAAATTTACAGAGGGTTATGGGAATATCTGTAAGGGTGCCTAATCTTTTGACTTCTCTTTGTATGGTTCAATCACCTTAGAGATAAAGATTATATGGCAAAGAATTTAAACTTGACTAACGAGAGGTCTGGCCTTTACTCTCAGCTTTTGGGAGGTGAACTCTAGTTCCTGGTCTTGCCTAAAAGGAATGTCGCTGATTGCCTGGGTGATCTGCCCACTGGACAATCTAATAATGTGGATTATTATGAGGATTTAGGGAAACATGGGGTCAGTTTGGCCTCTGGAAGAAACTGGAGACTAAAGACAGTTTTTCCTCTGGGAAGGGTTAGACTAAAGGTCAACCATATGGGTAATATGTGATCAAGTCCCAGTAAAAACTCTGGACATCAAAGACAAAGGTGAGTGTGCCAACTTAGTGATATTCTGTGTGTACTGTCTCATATTATGGCCAAGAAGAGGTAATGCTATCCATGACTCCATGGGAAAGGATGAACAGAAGTTCCTCATTTGAGGAACCTCTCAGAGTTTGCCCTATATGCTACTTCTCTTGGCTGATTTCAATCTGTATTCTTTCCCTGTAATACACCATAACTTTGAGTTTAGCAGCTTTCAATGAGTTCTGTGAGTGCTTCTAGTGAATTATTAAAATTGAGGGTAGTTTTATGGTGCCAGAAGTGAGGGAAGTCTCGTGGAGTGCTCCACATTTATAGCTGGCTAACTTTTGCAGTTGGCCCAAACTCCTTACAGTTGGTGTTAGAAATGAAACTCAGTAGAAAGATCCTGACTCATGTGATCATGAAGCATGATCTGGGAAGAGAACGGAAGAGGGTGGGGATGATGAATCTTTAGAGCCTGGATAAACACAGGATCATGCACAGTATGCAGTTGTAACTGTGCTATGATTAGTTATTGGAGATAAAAGTTAGCAATGGAATTTTGAAATGAAAGATGCAACTTTTAAGGAGTTGTATTGGATGCATAGAGAAACAAGGTAAATATACAATCTCTTGGCTATTGTTATCTGTACTAACTAAAACAAAATGGAGAACGTAGGGGTGGATCCTAAGGTTGCACCAAGCTTAGATTCTGGCTCATCTGACATATAGCTGCTAGCCCTTGAGCTGCTTCCAAAGAAAAATGTTACACTGAAGGAATAAATAGTAATAAAGTTAGATTTATTCATTAGAGAATGGGGAAAAGAGAAATGGGAGACACAAGGGACTTGTCCTGTCAGGGTAGAAATACTTAAATGATTATTAAGAAATGGATGAATAAAGTGAGCACTGTTGGAGGCAAAAGAAAGGTCTTAATGTAGCACCATTATGGGTTGAGCAGACAGATGGGGAGCACTGGTCTCCCAACATTAAAGGGTCCTAAACAAATCTAAATTTACCCTAGTTTGAAGGAATTTTAAAAGCTAGAAGGCATAGATAACTAAAAGAAACCTCACCTTGAATCACCTTAAGTGAGGGTCCCAAATCTAATCAATATAAGTCTAGACCAAAGAGTCTGAATCCCTTGGTCCAACCCAGGCCTAGAGATCCAAGGCCATATAACACACAAATGGATAAAATGGTCATGGGAAGGAGAAGATCCTTTTCTAGGATTCCTTGACATGGCACTACTCAAGTACTGTGATTCTAACACCTGTTGAAGTTCTAATGAGGGGATACAGTTAGACTGGAATTATACAGAGATACAATAGTTGATGGAATTATGGTGAAAGTTGGGATGAAAATTAGAATGTCTGAACAGTGAACTTTATATGAAGTGGTCAGTCTCCTTCACTGGAATGTATTATGGGGATGAATATTATGTTTGACTGGATAATTCTTCCCCTACCTAGTACTGTAAAACAAAGCATATAAATCCACTCTTCCACTAACATAGATTGTACATGTCAAGTGGAAATAAGTAAGATTGCCTGAATCAACACAGGTTATTAATTGAAGAAGGGAAAAACAAATCAGCTTGATGGGCTGAACTGCATGTTTGCCCCTATGTTTGGGTTTTTACCAACTGATAGGAAGTGTCCAGGGGCCTGGTGGAGTGCAAACTAGGTTTATAGCAAAAACCTGTGAATGCCACCTAAAAACAACTGCTGGGATTTGGGACCAGAAAATTTCCATTTGAGGGGCATTTACTAGCTTGCTATTGGATTTATAATTGAGACTACCCTATGACTGAAGAACATAAAATTATCTTGAAACCTGAAATATCCATAATGTTTTAGGTAATAGTAGAGAAATGCTCTAATGGGAAGGCAATGCCCAGGAGAGTTCCATAATAAAATGGAAATGGTGCATATAGGATCATGCTACCAGGAGAATGCAAGGAGGTACTCACGAGCAGGTAGCCTCTTTTCACCTAGGGCCGACTTCGGAACCACCTGAGGAGCTGCTGGATCCTATGGCCACTTGGGCCACTTGGGCGGTGCCCTATAAACAGCTTTCTACTGATCAACAAAGAGCTGCTTGGTTTATGGATGGCAATTCCAAGGTGAAGGGACAGCATCCTGTTTGGAAGGCCGCCACTCTGATTGAAGAAGGTAAAAACAAATCAGCTCGATGGGCTGAACTGCATGGTGTTTGCCCCTATGTTTGGGTTTTTACCAACTCATAGGAAGTGTCCAGGAGCTTGGTCATATGGTTAGGCAGAAGGGCAATGGAAAATTGGTCTATCAAAGGGATGCCTGTATAGGACATGGAAATTACTCCGGGAATAGAAGGGGTATATTAAAGTAGAATACGTTAATCCCCATCAGAAAAACCCCCTTTCAGAATGGGAAGTTAACTGGAACTCGTGAGCAGATATCTGAGCATGCATGCTTGACATGGCACCTGGGCCCATGAGATGAATGGACAATGGGGGGCTGCAACAATGCAGAGATGGGCTGAATTGATAAATTTCTCTTGTACCCTCTGAGGCACAAAATGCCAACAAGAACTGTTCTGTCTGCTAACAAAAAAGACAGCAGAAAGCTATATGGCAGATTCCATAGGGGAAGGTCCTACACATAGCTAGCAAGTTGCACTGATGTTGCTAGTCTCTGGAGGCTACAAATGAGTCCTAACAGGAATAGACATTTACTCGGTACTGGGCTTTGCTTACCCAATGGTAGATACAAATGCTCAGTGTACTATGAAAGGACTAGGGCAGAAAATATTGTACCAATGACTGTAGAGTCACATTTCTTTAGACCAAGGTACACACTTTCATATTCAGAGCAATGATTTGATAGAAAATTTGAATGGGCAATGGAAACATTTGTTGTCTAAAAAAGGAGGAGCATGGCTTACATACTCTCATTAGTGTGTGGTCACATTCAACATGAGGGAGGCCAAGGGAGGGTCCCCACTAAATATAGTCCTCTACCTTTCTGGGGAAGAGAGGGTTGGGGGGTGATGTTGGTAAGACTATATTTTTTCTTTAGGACTATACTTTTTCTTTTATCATATCAGATCAACTTTCTTTTTTTCTACCTGATGTTGTGGTGACAGGAGCAGGGCTGCAACTGTGCGTGCCAGAAGCAGGATGATTCCTAAGCAGAAAGTGTATCTTTAAGTCTTTATGTCAAAGTTCCTAAGGGCCTGATGAGGTAGATTATGCCTGACTCCATCTGGACAAATTGGGATTGAAAATGGATGCAGTTACATTGCCTGGTGTGTGCGATTGCTCACTAGTTCTGTACCTACTATGTAACCCTACCTAATATGAATGGAAAAGGACTAAGCAGGTGGCACTTGCTGAATAAGTATTACTAGTGGCAATTTGGACCAGCACAGTGGCCAAATCAACTGTCTCATTCAAAGATTTTCATAGGAAAAGTCCCGAGTATAAATGGAGAGAAGGAGGAATGGTAACTGGAGGTAAAGGAATGAGTACATGGGTTATGCAATGGAAGAGATCCAATATTATATTGGTGTCTCAAAATCCTTAGAACAAGAGGATACTGTTTCTTAGCTCAGTTGTAATAGATGCCAGAAGGGGTAAAGCCCTATGTTGCTGAGACTACTCCTGCTCTGGGAACCTGAAAAGCCTGTAAACCTGAGTAGCATAGTTCTGGGAGACATTTTGGTCATATGATATGATGATGGACTAGGTTGTTAATATCTGTGTAGGACTCCAGTAGTGTGCCAGTATCTTCTGGCTCATATTTCAGGTTATATCTACCACCCTACTGTGAAATGTTATAAAACTGGTGTTGCTAGAAAGATTAGAATACTGATATTGATGATCATATATAATGGGAAATTGGGTTAAATCCCCCTCAAAATATAATACCAATGGAAAAATGATTGGCTTGAAAAAGTCAGCTAATTTCTGTGGTAAATAGTTCTGTTCAAAGTATCACATAATACAAATAGTAGCAGATTGAGGTAGAAAAATTAGTATATTAGTACAAAAATATGAAAATGTGTGTAATGGCTTTAGAGGATAGATTAGCTGTTTCTCAAATTCATCTCTCATACTGGCTTCTTCAAATTTTAGACATATTCATACTGATACTGTTGTTGCATCTGTAATATAAATGCTGTAGTAAATATAGATGCCCAGCCAGATGAATACAATCATTTTCTATAAGACAGCCTCAGCCAAAGGCCAGGGGGAAGCTTGTGTAATGAAGACTTAACCTTATCTCAAGAGAGTGTGGCCTTTGTTCTCAGTTTTTGGGATGTGATAGGAGTCTTTGTTTGCCTTGGAGCTTTGGCCACCAGACAGTATTAACAATGTGATTTATGATGGGTGCTTTGGGCATTTGGGTATCAGTTTTGCCTCTGGAAAGTGGTGGAGACTAAAGGAATCAGCATAACTTTTGGAAAGGGCTAGAGACTAAAGGCCAGCCATATTGGCAGAATGTGATGAGCCCCAGTAAAACTCTGAACACAAAAGGCTTGGCGGCTCCCTGATTGGCAATGCTCCCTGTGCTGCCATACACTGATGCCAAAAGAATAATGCTTTCATGACTCTACAGGGAGAGGATTATAGAAGGTGTGCATTTAGTCCTTCTCTTTTACTCTTGGTTAACTTTAATTTGTATCCTTTCCCTGTCATAAATTATATCCACCAGCATAACATCTTTCAGTGAGTTCTGTGAGTCTTTCTAGTGAATTATCGAAAGTGAGGGTGGCTTTGGGAATATGCTAGGTTGCAACTGGTGTCAGAAGTGAGGGAAGCCTTGTGGAGTGCTCCAGCTTTTTGGTTGACTAATTTGCGGTTGGCTAAAACTTTATACTAAACCATATAAATCTCAAGGTGGCTTACCTGAGATCCTTTCTTGCTACCTGGCAGGTTAATTATGAGAGTTTTACCTCTGATTCCACATACAGGCCTGAAAGGAAAGAGAAACTGGATGAGTACTAAATTGCAATGAATGGTTGGTTTAAATACATTCAACAACAGAGATCAAACATTGTATTTCACATGGGAACAACTGTTTTAGAATGAAATTACTACAGCTAGAGATTCACCAATTGTTACACAAATTGGGCATTCTGGCTGAGGTTTTCACAATAGCTAGTGTGTTAGATTGTAAAGATGTACTGACATAAAATCAGAATATATTAGCCAATTTAAAGAAGTAATGGCCAAAATATCGTCTTTCTCTAGCTTCTTTGTATCTCATACAGTTCTAAGATTTCAATGAGATAAATGTAAAAATGTCTAGCACAGTAATATTTTCAAAAGTCTAAAACAAAGAGCACTCAAGAGTTGAGGGAGACTTAAATTTGAGCTATTGCTTCTTAGTAAAGTGTAAATTTTAAAGTAAAATAAGGTCTCTCACAAATGAATGGCAGTGGAGAGAGTTTGGAGAGCTCAGCTGCTAACAGATCCATTGAAAAACAAGGGCAACTAAAAGCAGAAAGCTCTTTCAAGATTACTGTAAATTTCCAAGCCACTTTTAAACTAGGTGGTTAGATAAGAAACATAAACAATGGAAAAGCACTGGAAGACAGGAATCAAGAGTTGAAGGCCTGGATTTCATATGAGAGTTGGAATCATGCTTTTTCAATAACTGGCTGTGTTACTTTCACCTGGTAACATCTAATTTTCATCAGCTGAAAACAAAGGGATTAGTCTATTTCTAAAATTTTAAAACTAAGATTTTTAAGTCATATAATAATCTTTTCCCAAAACTTGTTCCTATGAATGAGATTATTAACTACTTTCACTCTCTGAAATAACCTAAATTTGTCTTATGTTTTATTGTTTTTTTTTCTTGAGTCCTGTTCACAAAGACAAGAGATGATAGCTATTTACTTTAAATTTTCCATATTCTTTTAATTGATATATAATTGACAAATAGCATTGTATTAGTTTTAGGTGTACAAAAATGATGCGATATGTATATATATTGGGAAAGGATTATACAATAAGCTTAATTAACAACCATCACTACACAGTTACTATTTTTTTCTTGTAATGAGAACTCTTACAATCTACTTTCTTAGAAACTTTCAAATATACAATATAGCAGTATTTACTATAGTCACCATGCTAACATTACATCCCTTACATTTATCTTATAATTGGAAGTTTGTGTCTTTGACTAATTCCCCCATTTCACCCATTGTGCAATGCCTGCCTCAGGCAACCACCAATCTGTTCTCTGTATTTATGAGTTTGGTTATTTTTAGATTCCACATATATGTAAGATAATAGTTATTTGTCTTTCTTCATCTGATTTATTTCCCTTGACATAATGTACTCAGGTCCAACTATGTTGCTGCAAGCAGCAGGATTTCTTTCATTTTTACGTTCAATAATATTCCATTGCATATACATACCACAGTTTCTTCATCCATTCATCTGTCAATAGACACAGGTTGTTCTATGTCTTGGCTACTGTAAGTAATGCTACAATGAACATGGGGGTGCAGACATCTTTTCAAGATAGTGATTTCCTTTCCTTTGGATAAATACCCAGATGGAACTGCTAGATCATATGGTAGTTCTATTTTTAATTTTTTGAGCAACTGCCATACTCTTTTCCATAGTGACTGAACCAATTTACATTCCCACCAACAGTACACAGCATTCCCTTTTCTGCACATCTTGTTATCTCATCTTTTTTGATAAAAGCCATTCTAGCAGGTGAGTAAAGTGGTATTGCATTGCAGTTTTGATTTCCAATTCTTTGTATCTTTTCATGTAACTGTTGGCCATTTAGATCTTATTTGGAAAAATGTTTATTCAGATCCTTTGCCCATTAAAAAAATTTTTTTTTGTTTTTGACAGAGAGGGAGAGTGAAAGAGCAAGCACAAGTGGGGGAGAGAGGCAGAGGGAGAGGGAGATAGAGAGAGAGAATCCCAAGCACGCTCCACATTCAGCATGGAGCCTGATGAAGGGCTGGATCCCACAACCCTGGAATCATGACCTGAGCTGAAATCAAGAGTCAGATGCTTGACCAACTGAGCATCCTTGCCCATTTTTTAATTGGATTTTTTTCTACTAAGTTCTATGAGTTCTTTATATATTTTGGATATTATTAACCCCTTATTGGATATATGATTTGTGAATATTTTCTTCTGTTCCATAGGTTGCCTTTTCATTCTGTTGATGACTTCCTTTGTTGTACAGGTTTTTAGGTTGATGTAGTCCCATTCATTTTTGCTTTTGTTGCCTTTGCTTTTGGAGTCAAATCCAAAAAAGCACTGCCTAAGAATGATGTCTAGAAGCTTATCCACTGTTTTATTCTAGTTTTATGGTTTCAGGTCTTACATTCAAGACTTTATATTGAGTTGATTTTTGTGTATGGTTTAAGATAGGATAGTAGTCCTATTGTCATTCTTTTTCATGTAACTGTCCAGTTTTCCCACCATTTATTATTAAAGACACTATCCTTTCCCCATTGTATTTTCTTGGCTCCTTTGTCCTAAATTAATGGACTACATATGCATGGGTTTTTTTTATGGGTACTTCATTATGTTCAGCTGATCTGTGTCTGTTTCTATGCTTTTGATATATTGTTTTGATTACTATAGCTTTGTAATACAGTTGATTAGGAAGTGTGATGACTCTAGCTTTCTTCACATTTCATCACAAGCATCACATTCAAGATGCTTTCAATATTTGGGGTTTTCTGCGTTTCCATTAAGAATGATTGTTCTATTTCTGTAAAAAATGCCACTGGAATTTTGATAGGAATTGCACTGAATAGGTAGATTTTTTGGGAATATGGGCATTGTAACAATATTATTTCAATCCATGATCATGAAATATCTTTCCATTTATTTGTGTCTTCAATTTCTTTCATCAATGTCGTGTAGTTTTCAGTGTATAGGACTTTCACTTCCTTTGTTAATTTTATTCCCAGGTATCTTATTCTTTTTGACGTAATTGTAAATGAGATTGTTTTCTTAATTTCTCTAATAGTTCATTAGTGTATAGAAATGCAACTGATTTATACATATTGATTTTGTAGCCTGCAACTTAAAATTCACCAGTGAAGCCATATGGCCATTGATCTGTTACAAGGTTTCAAATTACTGATTCAATCTCCCTATTAGTAATTGGTCTGTTCAGATTTTCTATTTCATGATTAAGTCATGGTAGACTGTATGTTTCTAAGAATTTATCCTTATTTTGTAGGTTGTCCAATTTGTTGGCATACAATTAATCACCATAGTCTCTTATGATCTTTGTATTTGTGTAACATCAGTTCTAACATTTCCTCTTTTATAAATGGTTTTATTTAGTTGAGTCACCTTTTTATTATTATATTTTTGGTTAATCCAAATTTTTAAATCTTTTCTAAGTATCAGCTCTTAATATCATTGGTATTTTTGTTGTTTTTATTCTCTAGATCTTTTATTTCTGCTGTTCTTTATTTCCATCCTTCTAACTATGGGCTTAAAATTTTCTGTTTTAGATCCTTGAGGTATAAAGTTTAGTTGAGGTCTAAAGTAGGAAATTATTGCTATGAACTTCCCTTTTAGAATTGCTTTTGCTTCATCTTGCAAGTTTTAGAATGCTACATTTCCATTTTCATTTCTCCCAAGATATTTCTTGATTTTGTTTTGGTTTCTTCTTTGATCCACTTGTTCAGTAGCATGTAGTTGAATCCCCATATATTTGTGATTTTTCCATTTTTCTTCTTGTAATTTCTAATTTTATACAATTATGAATAAAAAAGATGCTTGATATGATTTTAATCTTAAATTTATTAAGATTTGTACTGTGGTTTAATATATGATCATGGAGAATGGACCAAGTGTGTTTGAGAAAAATGTGTATCCTGCAGCTTTTGGAAGGAAAGTTCTGTAAATGTCTATTAAGTCCATTTGGTCTAAAGTGTCATTAAGTGTAATGTTTCCTTACTGATTTTCTGTATGGGTGATCTAATCATTGATGAAAGCACAGGGTACTGAAGACTCCTACCATTATTGCATTGCTCTCTAATTTTCCCTTAAAGTTTGTTAATTTTTGCTTTATATATTTAGATACTCCATTCTTTGGTGCATAAGTTTTAGCAAATGTTGTATCCTCTTGTTGGATTGATCCCTTTATTATTATACAATGACCTTCTTTCGCCTTTTTCTTGAAATCTGTTTTGTATAAGCATAATTATCTCAGCTTTCTTTTGTTTTCCATTTGAAAATATCTTTTTCCATCCTATCACTTGCATTCTGTGTGTGTCCTTACATCTGAAGCGAGACTCCTGTTGGCAGAATATAGTGCGGTCTTGTTTTCATTAATCCATTCGCCACTCTATGTTTTAATTGGAGAATTCAGTCCATTTAAAGTTATTATTAATAGGTAGGGACTGACTGTAATTCTGTTGTTTTCTGGCTGTTTTGTAATACCTTTGTTTCTTCTTTTGCTCCCTTTCTTTGTGATCTGATGGCTTTCTGTAGTGGTGTGTTTCGATCCCTTTCTCTTTATCTTTTGTGTGTCTCCTATAGGTTTTTGCTTTGTGGTTACCATGAGGCTTACATAAAACATATTTATAACAGCTGATTTGAAGTAGATAATAACTTAAGTTTGAAAACATTCTAACGCTCTACATTTTTACACCCTGCACTACATCTATTTTTGGTGTCACAATTTACATCTCTTTAACTTGCATATCCATTAATAAGTTACTATATTTATAGTTATTTTTTAATACTTTTGCTGGTTTTTTTTGAGAGACATAGAGTGAGCAGGGGACAGGCAGAGAGAAAAGGAGAGAGAGAACCCCAAGCAGGCTCCCCATTGTCAGTGCAGAGCCCTCACCAACCGTGAGATCATGACCTGAGCTGAGATCAAGAACTGGAGGCTTAAATGACTGAGCCACCCAGGCACCCCAATACTTCTGTCTTTTAACTTTCACATTAGATATATAAGTG